GAGAGGGAGGGAGGGAGAGAGGAGATGAGAGGAGAGGAGAGGAGAGGAGAGGAGAGGAGAGGAGAGGAGCGGAGAGGAGAGGAGAGGAGGAAAAGAAAAGAAAATTATCAGATTGAAGCTACGAGATGAAAACTATGATGTTGTAATTCCAGGTATGAATCCATCCTTGCATTAGTTTTGCAAGACACTTGCGTATAATACTAAAGGGGGCTCAACACTGAAAGTTCAGCATGATGGACTCCATCTGGCTGTCGAACAAACCTATTGAGTTAAAGCAGGTTTCACCCTAGGTCAGAGATTCCTTTCTCCCCTCCTAAGATGGTGGCATCTCACACACTAACACTCACCTCCTCCTCTCTCCTCCTTAAGGCAATGTAATGAAGATAAATAGGCATTTTACAGACAGGTAATCTCAAGATAACAGATCCCTGTTATTTACACCAGCAAAGCCATTTCCCTGGTGTTGGAACTTGCCTTAGCCCACCAGGATTGGGTGGGGTTCTGCCAGTCGGTGATCTGTAAAGGTGCAGGGTTCATTAGTGCTCTGAGAACAGCTGTCCATATTTGCTGGGGATCAGATTACAGGATCTCATTAACTCACTCTTCTTGCATGCTTCAAACCTTTTGTAAGGACCAAGACCTATTATTTCAACTTGCCTCATATCAAGAGGGCTAAAGACTGAGGGTTTTGTTTTACTTATTTCTGTCACCATCATTTTAAAGTGTATGCTAAGGAAAAATAGTAACAATACCATTTATTGTAAATGTCACTATAAAATGTAAAATTTTTTTATGTCTGTGAGCAACTATTTCTTGTTTGAAATTTCCTAGTTATTTAGTGAAGAATGATCAGTTTAAATTTTGGTTAATTTGCAATAGGCTATGAAATATGGAAAAATTAATACAACTCCTAGAAAGTTCTTGTTATTTTATGTTGCTTTATTTTTTAAGTTTTATTTGGTAACTTAAGAAAAAAAAAAAAAAAGGGAAGGGGCCTGAGGTATTAAAGACATGTATGTTTACTTGGGGTTCACTCAGCACAGCAGGCTTAGCTCACAGAGTGGGTTAGCATTTCAATTTTTCAAAGAATCAATTGCAAGACCCTTCTGTAAGGGTCTGCTGTGGGTGGCCAAGTGAAGAGTTACTGGAGAATGTTCCAAGAATGACAGAGGGAAAACATGTGTCTAGATCTTAGGAAGAGAAAACATGGAAGGATCTAGGAATTAGAAGAATCCAATGTGAGGAAGAATAAAGTACAGAGGGAAGAGTGAAGGTAGAAGAGGGGCAAAATAGGTAGAAGATTGATTATGCATTGCTTTGCAGAGTGTGTTAAGGATACCGCTCTTTAACCCAAAAGCAAAGGAAGAGCCTTCAAACGGCTTTAACTATGCATGCAAGTAGAAAGGCAGGAATGTAGTCAGATTTGTTTTTTGAAAAGACAGATATACTGGATGTGGAGGCTTGTAAAGGTGAAGTTGGATCAACTCTATTGCACTGATCCCTGGTGAGAAATCATGGTATATTTGATTCAGATATTGGCTCTGTAGATAAAAGAGAATAAAATGGAAAAAATTTGGGTCATATTTAAGATATTAAAAAATCTATACTAGTGATTAATGGATTGAGCATGTAATGCAAGGGAGGAGGAAAGATCAAGAATTATTCATATATCTCTTCAGCAACTGAGTATATGGTAATACCATTTACTGAGAATGACCACAAGAGAGAAAGTACATGTGAAAGAAAAGATTATGAATTCAGGCTTACACATATTTAGAGGTCCTTATGTAGCCAAGACAAGGTGTTGCAGAATGTATAGGTCTAGAGCTGAGAGGAGATGCCTATCATCAACATTGATAATTCAGGTTATGGTCAATGGATGATATGGCCTGGCAAGAGAGTACAAAGTGAGAAGAGGGGTCTTGCAACCTAGCACTAACAAACTCTAATATTTAGTGGTGGGAGGAAAACTGGCAGAGACTGAATAAGAGCAGCCAGAGAGGTAGAAGGAAAACATGAAGAATGGGAAATGAAAGGGAGAGGGAAACCAAGAGAAAAGAGTCTTTCAAGATGGAGGGAGTGATCAATGGTGAGGGGGCAGGGGTGAATGCTCTGAGCATCAAGAAGGGCAAGAATTGGAAATTCTTTGCTGAATTTGGAAACATCGTGGTCACAGGTAACTCTAGAAAGAACCATTTGGTTGGCGTGAAGGAATGAAGTCCAAAGTGAAATGAGTCTTTAGAGGAGTTAGTGAAATGTGAGGAAACAAAGTGAATATAGAGTTGGATAAATAGTATTGTGAAGATAAAAAAGAGGCTTATAGATGAAAGAGAAGCAACATTAAATGGTGCTTCTTTCCTTATTAAACAAGAGAGACTAAAGGATATTTAAAATTGGTGAGAATGATCCAGCTGAGAGGAACAGATTGAATAAAGAGGAAAGAAAAGGGTTCATTGACTAGATTAATGAAGGATTCTGCTGCTGGTATCATCCTGTGTTAATTGCAGGCTTAGACACCCCACATCACACTGCACAACACACACACGCGCTCTTCTCCCTGGCTATCATAAGACACCACAGAAAAAGGGTCTCCTCCTTTGCTTTTGGGTTAAAGAGTGGTATCCTTAACACACTCTAGAAAGCAAAGAGGTTTACTCAATCTGTTTTTCTCTTTATTCAATCTGTCCTTCTCAGCTAGAACAAACTTTGGTCTCTTGCTCTCTGAAAGCAGTCCATTCCAGTCCTCCAAATTTGTTTCACATTTACCCCAAGATCACAGTCACAACAAATGCCTAACCAAGAATCTTGGGTGCCTTATTCTAGATAAAATCCACAGGTTCTCCACTTGACCAGGATGGGAAAAAGTGACAGAAATAAATACTAAACTCACAAAAGATCAGTACTATCCGATAGCCAGAAATATTTTGGTCATAGGAAGGGCTGATGACCAATCTCTTATTCCATCTTAAAGAACTCCCACCTTCGAGGACAACCTACAATTGTAAGCCAGATGTATACTCTCAATATTTCATCCCATTTCAGGACCCTCCCTGTGTTTGCTTCATGGGTTTTTCTATCAGGCTTTTCTCTGGCTAGTTTTCCATTAAATTCAATATGGCTGTCACCTCCCACAAAAATTGAGGTCCATCTGTTTTACGTTTCTTTCTGGACCTCTTAACCTTCTAACTTACTTCTTTGGAGAAAAATTTGAAAGCTGAAAGTAGTAGATAAAGATTTGTTTGCAGGAAACAAGCTGTCAGCACAGATGTATGGTATAATTTCTACCAAAAGTTCAATATTACTTTAATGGGTATTCAGGGGAAAAGCTATAAATATAATGTTCACTCTAAATGGGGTCATAAAACAATAGAGTATTTTCAAGCTTTTTATGCAGACACTGATTTGAGGTAGTTTTACACTCTATGGTTTCTGCTTCTCGGGTGATTACTATTGGGGTTTCATAATAAAATGAAGAAAGGAAGGAAGACAGAACGGGCAACTGGAAGACAGGGAAAAAAAAGAAGAAAAGGTCCGATGGTTTTACAAGCAGGTGACATTTCACCCACTTGCAGTGACTCCATCCTGCCACCCGGTGAAGAAGGTTCCTGCTTTTCCTTGGCCTTCTGCCATGACTGTAAGTCTCCTGAGGCCTCTCCAGCAATGCAGAACTGTGAGTTGATTAAACCTCTTTACTTTATAAATTACCCAGTCTTCGGTAGTTCTTTACAGCAGCATGAGAATGGACTAATGCAGGAAGGAAGGAAGGAAGGAAGGGAGGGAGGGAGGGAGGGAGGGAAGGAAGGAGAGAGGGAGGGAGGGATCCTGTTTCAGATTTTTTTCCATAAGATGTTAAGAAACACATGGATATTTGATTCAGAAGTTCAGAATCTTGTGGTATTTCCTTTGGTTCCATCTCTACCCATCCCATGATAAGAGATAGTGATAAGATCCTGGGCTTTAGAGACAGATAAATATGAGCTCAAATTCCAGTTCCATTGTTGGCTATCTGTAAGATCCTGGGCAATTTTCAAACTCTTTGAGCCTCTATTTCTTCATCCATAAAATGCTTAATAATGTAAACCTTGCTGGGTCATTGTAAGGATTACATAGAATCATATTTGCAAAGTTAATTATGAGTCAATAATTGAAGCCATTGATGCAAAATGGACTGAGACCCAACACACACATGCTGATCTATCTCCTTCATGAGAGAAAAATCTAATTGGAATTAGAAGCATCTGCTGCAGTTGGAGCCTTTCATACTAAATGGACTCATTGATACTCAAGTTGTGACTCTCATAATGAAGGGGAACAAATGCTTCATAACCTGATGATGTCAGTGTTATTATTTCCCATGAAATATGCTTTCTCCTGATGAAACTAGACTATGAGGTCTTCGGGATGGGTCAGGAGCGGGTGTGTGTGATGAATGTGTAATGAATGCTTGCTTTGATGAATACACTTGCTTCTTTAAGGGCCCAAGGAAATTGGCCACAAGGCTTGCTGATGAGGAAATGAATCAAGGCATTTTCTACCTCTTTAACTCATAAATCCAGAGCACGCTTTCTCCCTTTGGGGTCTGCAAAGCCTGAGACGCTTGAGTTCATGACATCAGAAATAAAATAGGGTGGAAAACCCCAGTGAGGAGTAAGAGAGATTCCTGAACGGTGAGTTTGGGCACTGGATTGGGAAGCTGGGGAGGGGTTCTAGAAGAAGGATGTATTAGATGACAAGAGAGGCAGTTGAGAAGAGTAAAAGAGGGGTGGTAAAATGAATAATCCTTCCTTCTGAAGGTCTAACTCTGTAAGCTGTCCCCATGCCTTTCCATGGTGGAGGAAGACAGAAAATATCATGTTCCCAGGTGGTATTGCTCAGTGAGACCCTCCTTTTCTAAAAAGAATATTTGCACCTTCTTTGAATTCTGGTATCTATGTTCGCTCAGGGGAAGACTTGCAAGGCAGAAGTGCTTGGGAAAGAAAAGACTATGATTCATCATTTACCCTGAAGTCAGTTCTCTGCCATCCTACTGACCACTTATACTCACACATTCTTGGTCACCTCAGAAGGACCATGAGCCAGCTGTGCTGAGAGTACTCCACCAAGCAAGATGAAATTCCCAGATTTCTTTTCACAACTCCCTGGGAGACAGAAAAAGATAGGGCATTAGTTCAAGGTTACCTAGCCTGAGAGTTTCTTCTTGAGGTGCCTTGTGACCTTTCTGCCAACAAAGCCTAACATTTCAGCTATGCTGTTTGGCATGACCATCATCCCCTGTTGTCTTTCACTGTCCATTCTCAGCCTGCCTTCTTCTGTAATCTCAAACCTTTCCAAGTTTTATCATTTCCACACAAGACTGATACTTTCTTCACATATCATTAGCTAGTTATCTGATCTGCATTCAGTTCAACTAAATTCACTTCATCTAAACACACACATACCTAATACACATCTACTTCCCCTGATCCTTACTTCCACTGGGGAAGAGATTTGAGTATCAGTAATAATTCATAGTGTGTGTGTGTGTGTGTGTGTGTGTGTGTGTGTGTGTGTGTATTTATCTTGGTATACACATCATTTTGGTAGAAACAGAGACCAGTAGTGGGAAGTAGACTGCATCGGTAGGTACTGAGAGAGAAATTACATGGGAGAAAGAAGGGAAGAGACTTTTAGGCAGTTGATATGTTGATGTAGAGACTTTGGAATGATGAATGGGTGAAAATAAATTTTTTTTAAATAAATTTCTTATTTTACTTTAGGTTCTGGGGTACATGTGCAGATCATGCAGGGTTGTTGCACAGGTACATACATGGCAATGTGGTTTGCTGCCTCCATCCCCCTGTCACCTATATCTGGCATTTCTCCCCATGTTGTCCATCCCCAACTTTCCTACCCTCTGCTGCCCCTCGCCTAATCTCCCCCAACAGACCCCACTGTGTGATGTTCCCCTCCCTGTGTCCATATGTTCTCATTGTTCAACACTTGCCTATGAGTGAGAACATGTGGTGTTTGACTTTCTGTTCTTGTGTCAGTTTGCTAAGAATGGTTTCCAGATTCATCCATGTCCCTAGGAATGACACAAACTCATCATTTTTTATGGCTGCATAGTATTCCATGGTGTATATGTGCCACATTTTCCTTGTCCAGTCTATCATCAATGGGCATTTAGGTTGGTTCCAGGTCTTTGCTATTGTAAACAGTGCTGCAATAAACATATGTGTGCATGTGTCTTTACCACAGAACCATTTATAATCCTTTGGATATATACCCAGTAACAGGATTGCTGGGTTAAATGGAATTTATATTTCTAGGTCCTTGAGGAATCGCCACACTGTCTTCCACAATGGTTGAACTAAGTTACACTCCCATCAACAGTGTAAAAGTGTTCCTGTTTCTCCACATCCTCTCCAGCATCTGTTGTCTCCAGATTTTTTAATGATCACCATTCTAACTGGTGTGAGATGGTACCTCAATGTGGTTTTAATCTGTATTTCTCTAATGACCAGTGATGATGAGCATTTTTTTTCATATGTTTGTTGACCTCATATATGTCTTCTTTTGAAAAGTTTCTGTTCGACTACAATCAGAGATTACTACAAACAACTCTATGCACATAAACCAGTAAACCTGGAAGAAATGGATGAATTCCTGGATAGTTGCACCCTCCCAAGCCTAAGCCAGGAAGAAGTTGAAACCTTGAATAGACCAATAACAAGGGCTGAAGTTGAGGCAGCAATTAATGGCCTACCAACCAAGAAAAGTCCAGGTCCAGACAGGTTCACAGCTGAATTCTACCAGACGTACAAAGAGGAGCTGGTACCACTCCTTCTGAAATGATTCCAAACAATACAAAAAGAAGGAATCCTTCCCAAATCATTTTATGAGACCAACATCATCCTGATACCAAAACCTGGCAAAGACTCAACAAAAAAAGAAAACTTCAGGCCAATATCCATGATGAACTTAGATGCAAAATTCTTCAATAAAACACTGGCAAACTGATTGCAATATCACATCAAAAAGCTTATCCATCACGATCAAGTAGGTTTCATTCCAGGGATGCAAGACTGGTTCAACGTATGCAAGTCTATAAATGTAATCCACCACATAAACAGAACCAAAGACAAAAACCACATGATTATCTCAATAGATGCAGAGAAGGACTTCGACAAAATTCAACAGACTTTATACTTTATAGTTTTTATACTAAAAACTCTCAATAAACTAGGTAATGAAGGAATATATCTCAAAACAATAAAAGCTATTTACGACAAACCTACAGCCAATATCATACTGAATGGGCAAAAACTGGAAGCATTCCCTTTGAAATCCAGCACTAGACAAGGATGCCCTCTGTCACCACTCCTATTCAATATAGTATTGGAAGTTCTAGCCAGAGTAATTAGGCAAGAAAAAAAAATGTATTCAATTAGGAAAAGAGAAAGTCAAATTGTTTCTATTTGCAGACAAAATGATTGTATATTTAGAAGACCCTATCATCTCAGCCCAAAATCTCCTTAAACAGATAAGCAACTTCAGCAAAGTCTCAGGATACAAAATCAGTGTGCAGAAATCATAAGCATTCCTATACACCAATAACAGACTAACAGAGAGTCAAATCATGAGCAAACTCCCATTCAAAATTGCTACAAAGAGAATAAAATATCTAGGAATACAGCTAACAAAGGATGTAAAGGACCTCTTCAAGGAGAACTACAAACCACTGCTCAAGGAAATAAGAGAGGACACAAACAGATGGAAAAACATTCCATGCTCATGGTTAAGGAGAATCAATAATGTGAAAATGGCCATACTGCCCAAAGTAATTTATAGATTCAATGCTATCCGCATCAAGCTACCAATGACCTTCTTCACAGAAGTGGAAAAAACCACCTTAAACTTCATATGGAACCAAAAGAGAGCCCACATAGCCAACACAATCCTAAGCAAAAATAACAAAGCTGGAGCCATCACGCTACCTGATTTCAAAATATACTACAAGGCTACAGTAATAAAAAAGGAGATTTGGGGGTATTTTGTTGTGTGATGCATTGTTTAAAACTCATGCCTCTCATTTAAGAATGCTATCAGAAGTCATTCATATAACTCTTCTAAGTGTCCTAGAATTGTATTTGGGTATCTATTTGGTTGTGTTGATAGCAGAATTAGACTTCAAGAGGGTTCTTCCATATTTAGGTTAAAGTCAGAAACCAGGATAGCTGAGTCAGGTCAAAATAATTCAGGTCCAAAAAACAGAGGTCAAAATAATTCAGGACCAAAGCCTAGAGAAGAGTGATTTGGGTTGGTTGGGGGGGCGGGCAATGGTGGCACATAAAACTCTCAGGTAGCCATGTCACATATGGGTTGGAAACCCTGACTATTAAATGAGGAAAAGAGAGGGGCGGGAGAACTCCCCTAGAGCTACAGCTTGCTACAAATTCCTCAAACTTTTAGCATCAATTCTGAGTTTATGTTAACAATCAATCTTCTGGATCAGAGACTTCACCAGAATTGATTCTAAAGCATAATCATGAGTGAGGCCAACATTTTCAGCTTTTCTGTAGACATCCCTTTTGGTGGCCTTTTTCAGATTCAGCATGTCCAGAGCTGAAGCTAGTCCCTTCGCCCTGTCTCATTCCCTGGGGCTTTGTTGAGATTACCAACCACCCAGTTAACCAGGAAAGAAACATTTATTCTTCCTCTCCCTCACTCTGTATCCAATTAGACAATAAATTCAGTTGTTTCTACTTCCTAAAGCTCATTCTATATCTTTCCTTTTGAACATATTCTCTTTATGTCATATCCTCATCACTAGCTTCTCAACTAGTTTCCCAACTCCAATCCCTTTCATCATCTATTTCACCTTCTACATTGTCAGCAGAATGATCTTTCCGAGATATTTTGATGGCTCTCCTTGGTCCACAGAATTCAGCCTAAACCCCTTAGTAAGTTTCATAATTTACTTTGGAGTCTGCCCTGACCTTTTGTTCTTGCCTCAGGTCCCACCACCTTTCCTCAGCACTCCTATGGAATAACATTGTCCCTTACACTCCATGTTTTTTCACATCTCCATGCTGTGACTTCTACCCGGAATATCCTTTGCTCACTTTGTCTGCCTGCAAAGTTTGGCTCAAATATTTCTTTCTCTGAATTCTTCCTTTATTTATCTCTATTAAAGTTGGTTTCTTCCTTCTTGATAATCCCATAATATCATGTACATAACTGTATTATCATATTAATATAGTTCTTCTTTCATGTTTGTATGTACTAGTAGGTTGTAAGATGGTATAGGATAGAAACTGTGCCATTTTTCTTTGAGACCTAGTGCCCAAAATAATATCGCCTACAAATACCTTAGTATTTGTTGGGTTATTAAATTTAAACTATATTGAAATACCATATGCTTGTCCCTGCATGATGACTGGTAAGTTATTAGGATAATATAAAACTAAGCAAAAAGCAAGATAGGAACAGACAGAAGCTCTCTTAATCTGATAGACTAAAAGCTTTAAAAAAATCTATACTAACCCATACTTAATGTGAAATATTGAATGCATTTCTTCTGAGGTCAAGAATGAGACAAAGATGTACACTATCACCAGGTCTCTCCAACACTTAGGGAGGTACCGTCAGCGTGATAGGACAAGACAAAAGAAAGAATAACCTATGCAAAATTAGATTAAGCTGTACATAACAGATTAGTGTACTTTACACACAATATACTTTTTCCAAAAATATACTATAGATAATATATACTATACCAAAAGAACTCTACACTAAACAGAGACGGTAGGATATAAAATTATCTTCAAATATTAACTTAATTATTCTCTTTAAACTGGGCTTGTAGCTATAGTTTAACACCCATTTGGGGAAATGTGCATTTTTCCTGCCTATTTTCAGGATTGCTCACTATAGCCTCCAGTCTAGTATGTGGTGGAGTACCAGGAATGGAATAGCTGGGCTGATTCTTCACAGAGAATGCTTATTCAACATGTGACTGGTACAAAAGCTGCTTCCTACCATTACTGCTAGGTTTTAGGGATAATATGTCAAGGAAGCTCTATCACTGTCATTGGTCTTATCCTAGACTTAGCAAAAACTGCAAGGGGGTTACTAGGTAAACATTTACATGCTTAGC